TTAAAATACTTTTAAATGATCACTTGGCGCCCAGAAGGTAAGTTGCTGTTGACTTTTTAAAACCATATGGATCCACTATACCCAGCTCTCCGCAAAGTTTATAACATGTGTAGCCGTTCGCAAAAATAGGTACCAACAAAAACCTGAACGCCACACCTTAAAACCACACTAATAAAGGAAATATGCAAAACATTGATTAATGCTATGCCAAAACAAGTTAAAGCTTTAATTAAGGCCAAAAGAGTGACAAATAATAATATTTAAATATTTATAAACTCGTACTGTTTGTATTTTTTTTAATAAATAATATTTGTGTTCACATTATTACTGTATGCTTTTATTTTATTTTCTTAGTTTGTGTCTTATCCATTTTTATCTACTTTCGCTATTTTTTTTCACTTTTTCTTTTGTAATTTAGTGCAATTCTTTGTTTGATATTTTGTTGGGTGAGAATATACCGTATACAATTCTTAAACATTTGTTAATAAAGGGTTGAATTTTTCCTGTGTACAATTTTTAATTTAATGCTTAAGATTTAATCTGAATATTTTATTCCTATTTTTTTCTATATAGGATTAATGATAACCATTTTTTGAGAATTGTAAAGGATATTTGTGCTAGTAAAATTGTTATTTCTTTATCAATTTCCTTTCGACCTTTCCAACTAATTATACTTTCTAAGTAACAAAACTTCTTTACTTCCATTATTTTTTCATTGCCTATTACTATACTTCTTCGGTAACCGAAGTTCGGTTCCATTATTTGTAAGCAGTTTTATTATTTTTTGTAGTGGTCTTTTTTATTTACTGTACATCGGAGGCAATCCTAATCGAAACGTCGCACATTAATCATTTAAAGACAATGTAAGTAAAAAATCCATTAACCTCATTATAGTATTACTTCCTCCAGTATAAAATTATGTATAAATCGTACCATAATTCATCACTAAATATCAATTTTATCCAGTGTCTATTAGTCCAACATTTTCAATGCACAATGTGCGGGTGGAGTGAATTTTTTTTATTTAATAAATGATTTTTCCTGGATTATTAATTGTTGACTAATGGCGTAAAATGAATAAATATCAAAAACATATTCCAAATTTTTAATATCTTGAGGTGGCGTATCAATCTCAAAGTTTTGAAAATTCTAAAAAAATATGACTTCAATCAAGGTAATATAAATAGCCTAATTAATAAATAAAAAGTTTATTTTAGTAAATTTAAACATATTTAATAGTAAATCATAAGCTTTAGGTAACTTCAGGAGTGTTTATTGGTATAAATGAGATCTTCTTTTTCGCGAAAATACTAACATTTGGTATCAAAATTTGGTTATTCTTGTTCTGATAAAACCATCTCTTCCTTTCGATCCACAAACCGAGACTGAAGATTCAGTATACTGCTTATAACCAGGTTTACACAGCGTTCCATTTAATATTTTCCGCAATGCTAGTTCTTTGATCGATAGATATCTTGTAGGCAGGGCCGGCCCGAGGTACGGGCGAACCGGGCAACGGCCCAGAGCGGCATAATGGGGGGGCGACATTTTTACGATTTGTTAATGATAATCAATTTTATTTAACATACACTGAGGGAAAAATCTAATACCTGTTATGAAAAATATAATACTCCTTATAAGATTTCTCTATTAGTATTAGGACAGCCAACTAGTTCATAGACAGTATGAACTCGGTTTTGTTAAAACATCTTGTAACAGTTATTAGACTTACTATTATCTCTTATAAAATCGATATGCTGCCACCATAAAATGATGTTGTAGTGGATATAATCAAAATCTTAAATACTATAAACCCGCTTTATATCGAGTATTAAATGTTTTTTAGCCAGTATAACTTCAGATTGCTATGTGTATTTGAAAATTCTTAATAATTTTATGTAGTAGCTAATACTTTTTACAAACTCTGTTTATTCTCTTTATTAGCAATTTAGTTACTTTAATAAAATATGTCTTATATAGGAAATTATGCATTTTTCATAAGAATTATTATACTTACTTGCTGACAGGATAAGGGTCGTTATATAAAAAGTTCAACTCCTATAAATTTTATACTTTTATTATAAAAACAGGTACAAGAAATAAATAAAATAAACATAATTAGGTATATAATAGTACCGAAGTAAATCCAAATTTTGCATGTCGAAACTCACAAAGAATGCCAAGGGATAAAATAAAACAAGCGTAAAAATATTCCTACTTACAAAAACCCCACAGCGTGTCACTGCAATTTTTTAAAATTATTATTTGGAAAATGTATTCTTTTAATATTTAGTAAAATCGTTTGTTTTTGTTTTGGGGGCTATTTTTTAATAATTTTAATCATGATTTAAATCGTAAATTTTAATCAACTAATTAACTTAAAATCTCAACCTTATAAATGTATGTTATGTACGTGCCATATAATACATTCTTGGGGAATATAGGTATTATATATATGTAGGTGAGTACAGGATGAACCAAGTAAGGGGACCCTTATCTCAGAAACTACTTCTTCAAAAAATGTGTAGAAAACAAAAATTTATGTAGGTAGTTTATTTTTAATACTATATTAACATTGTTATTATAAATAAATAAAATATAGTTTAATTTAGAATATAAATAATAAACAATTTTAAACCAAATGTTCCCATGTCCACACTTCTTAATAATGTTGCTCTTGATTGGTTAATTTTTACAAATGTTGCTATTATTTTTTGTGACTTTAGTAGTTTCTAAGATATCTAAGTATATCCTTGTAAACCACGTAAGGTGACCCATTTAATATATTATACTTATAAGTATATGGGTCACCTTACGTAGTTTACCCTGTACATTTACGTATGTTATATAATGAAAAATTAATAAATTATTATAATGGGAATCAATAAAAACAGTTTTTGTGCACCTGCACCTGCGTCCACGTGCTCAGCTCGTTGTGCTGTTCCAAGATCAAGCCATACACCTTTATTAAACTAAGGCTTCTGCTCCTATCATGATGTATAATTATTACAAAAACTTACCCTTAACAATTGCCAGCTAAATATTATCACAACAAATAAACAAAACACTACACCCACAGATACTTATTCCTCGCGGTCAAAACAATGCACCAAGCGCATGTGCGTATATAGCTTAGAGTATAAAGACGACTATTAAACAGTATAAGACATATTAAGTCGGGTTTATACAACAATCGATAATTTAGTGCACAATTTAATTCATAACTCAATTCTTAATTTAATGCATAAATATTAGATTAATACATAACTTTTAAATTTGGTTTATACAATTCATTAATTTAGTGAATATTTATAGTTTTTTAAATGCCAAAATTGCCAACTGACACAATCAATTTCCCTGATTTTAACCTATCTTTCGGTTTCTGTCACTGGTTTCTGTGTTTATTTTATTTTATCGATAAAAGTTTACAAAATGAAGACAATTAATAAGAAAATGCAAATCTTAATTCTTTCCTACCTCTTTTTGTCTGCAACTACAGCAGCTGTAATTGCAAAACCAAGGTTTAAAAGACGGTGGAAAGTTAGACCAATTAATAGAAACAGAATAAAGGAGGGTGTATTTGGTACTTTGGTTAAAGATATGATTATGTGTGATGAACCTCAGTTTTTTAAATATACCCGAATGACAGTAAATCAGTTTAATCATTTACTTGAAATAATTAAAACGACCATCCAAAAAGACAAAAAGAAAAGTCACATTTCTGCTAAAGAGCGACTTATCCTAACTTTACAGTAAGTACTTTAGTACATATTTTTCTCATTGCTAGATTATTGACATATTTTTGATTCTAGCTATCTCTCAGAGGGATGCTCCATGCAAGAAATAGCTTTTAACCACCGCATTGGGAAGGCTACAGTGCATGTTATAATTAAGGAAGTTTGCAAAGTCCTGTGGGAAAAGCTGAGTCCAACAGAGTTACCAGAACCCTCAAAGAGAGAATTTGAGGATATAGCATCTGGATTTTATCAAAGATGGAATCTTCCTAATTGTATCGGTGCATTGGATGGCAAACACATAAATATTATGGCTCCAAAGAATTCTGGAAGTGTTTTTTTTTAACTATAAGAAATCCTTTAGCATTATACTTATGGCAACTTGTGATGCCTATTACAGGTTTTCATTGGTTGATATTGGTGCTGAGGGCTCTAATCATGATTCGGCAGTATTTAAAGCAAGCAGCTTTGGAAATGCCCTAATGAATGCTAAGCTAGGAATTCCAGCTCCAAGAAACTTTCTAAACACAAACTACAAGATGCCATTTTTTTTTGTTGGAGACGCTGCATTTCCTCTACATGAAAACATTATTAGACCATATCCAGGCTCGTACCTGGATGCAAAAAAAAATATATTTAATTATAGAATAAGTAGAGCACGAAGGTGTATTGAAAATTGTTTTGGGATTTTGAGCCAACGTTGGAGAATTTTGCGAAGGCCCATTAATGCAAGTTTGGAAGTTAGTGAGTTAATTGTCCAAGCAACAGTTGTACTGCACAATTATTTACAAAATAAGGAAAAGGATCTTCCCCTTTCAGAAAGAAAATATTGCCCAACTGGTTATACCGATTCATATGATGCAAAAGGTAATCTGCAGAAAGGTACTTGGAGACAAGAAGGGCAGAGCTTAAGATCAGTAAGTAAAGTTGGCTCTAACAATCATACTACCAAAGCTAAAGCCCAAAGAGACAAATTGGCAGATTATTTTTTGTCAAAAGAGGGGTGGGTGCCTTGGCAAGAGGGTTACGTCAATCGAGGAGGTGCTCCTGGACTATAATATTTACTACATATTATTATTACATAGTATTACATATTTTAATTAAAAGCATTTAAGTAATAATTTTAGAAGTTGGTAAAATAATTATTGGGTATTTTGTGTTATTGATATTATTACTCATTTTTCCAAATAATATTAAGTGATTTTTTATGTATATGGTTATAAATAAAAAAAAATGAATTTAATTTTAATATTTATTAACTAATTCCTATTCATCATCATCATCAATCTCTTCAGCTATCATTGTTAATATTTTAGCTTTGAGGAGTAACTTTTTCTTCTCACTCTTAATTTTTAAAAATGACTCTCTTAAACTTAAAAAAAAAAAATCTTTTTCAGATTCATTGCTGTTGTTTTCATGAATATAATTTTTCAAGTTTTGTCCAATGTTCGTACAAGTTTCTAACAGTTCATCAACACCAGGGTTTTGCACAGTTCTTTTCCTTTTAAAACCCTTCTTATTTCTTTCTCTCCTGAGAAGTGAATTTTCCTCCTCTACCGTTACGTGACTTGAGGAAGGACGAGTTGTGTCTGACTCCTCAGTTGACTGCAGAATGTCTTCACTTTCAGTCAATTCATATGATGCATCTTCTATCTGTGATTCATTATTGTATTCATCATCATCAGTGGATTTATTTAAAAACGACCCAAAATCGTCCACCACCAATGTTTCCACACACTCACTAGAAGGCCCAGCAATAGTGCCTGCAGGGTGACATTTTTTTAATATGTTACCCTTTGTTCTAAAAAAGAGACATTAAACTACTTGTAGTTATGACTATCTAAATAAAAACATTCCTATAGTTTTTACAACACCTACCTCCGAATTTGGATGTGACTTGATAAAAATCCCATCCTTTTAAAATGTTCCCAAAAACCGGTGTAGGCTGCAGACCCAGAAGGCATGTTTTTAATCATTTTCCTTTCCCTGACATATTTAGCCCTTAAACTTTTCCAAAGGTCTTGACATTCGTTTACTAAAATAGAGTAAATTTTGACTCCAAAAATTCGGATTTAGGATTAAGAAACATACCTGGAATTTCCATAATAAGGGCTATAGTCTTCCAAGCATTTTCCACAAACACTTTGTCTTTATGTTCCTTTAATTTTGTATCCCAAATGCAGGGAAAACTTTCAAGATTGTCAATAAAAAAACCCTCATCAAAACTCATGTTGAATTTTTTTTCACAACACAAAACAATAGTTCACACCAAAGATAATACACCCTACACACCACAAAACTATTAACAATAGTCCAAAACAAACAAAGTAGTTAACTTACAATCCAAAACACAAAACCATAAACAATACTTCAAAACAAACAAAGTGGTAATATTCATAACCTTAAAAAACTGGCGTGAACAAATTTTGGCACATGCGCATTTCAATCTTATTTATAATTTAGTACATAAAAGTTAAATTTTGTGAACTTCCAAGGTTATTCAATAAACACTAAATTGTGAGTTACGCATTAAAACGTTGTATAAACTGTTTCATAGCAGATAGTGCGATTTAACTTTTATGCTTATGCACTAAATTGTGAATTATGAAATAAATTAAAGATATGAAGTTGTATAAACCCGCCATTATATTTCTTATAAAAAAAATTATAACTTAAAATAAATGATATCTGCAAGAAAACATTTCATAAACAATATGCATCTAGATTATAGCGAGTATTAAACAACTGGAATAAAATCAAAATTATAACAGTTACTACACAGCTTATTGACTTCATAAACGAATATGATTCTAACTAAGAATCCTCTTATTTTCTTTATGAAACTCGTCTTAACAATACTGTTTTATAGAAACATTTCTTTCAGTGTACCTACTAACAATTTTTCGATTGGCGATTTTTTCAAGAATTACGCCCGTGAAATGCAGTTTAGATAATCTTTGTTACAAAGATTTAAAAGAGGCGCCCTCTTTCATTCGTTTCTTCAATCACATCCTGTAGTTTTCCATACTTTTGTTTGACAATTGACAATTAATAATTGAAAAATGGTATATCACGATCGTGCGTTGTAAAATTAGTGCATTTCTAAGGTAGTTTGATAATTAGAAGTATAAAATGTTTGAAAAAAAAAAACCACCGTAGGCAGGTATAATAATTATACTCTAATTAAACAATATTGCATATATGTAAATGAGGTTTTATTTTTGCTGTGATATAATCATTGACAAGTGATGCAATTATGTATATATATTTAACAGTATATTGCCTTACCTAGTAATTCTAAAGCATAAAAACTTATAAAAAATTTAAAAATTTGAATAAAAAAAATTACGTTAAACTACTTTTTTTCCTATTCCTGCTGCAAAATTTTCTTCGCCCGGGGCGGCCCTGCTTGTAGGTAATAGGTATAGCAAGTAATAGGTTTTCGGGATGTATATTTCGCTGAATATTCTTTATAACTATAGTTATAAGGCCTTCAAGTTTTTCTGGAGGTGTAATGATCTTTTAGTCATATTAAATATGTGAATAGGACCATGTTTGCACGTAGGCTTGGTTTTGATGTAAAACCACGTTGGGGCATACACTTTTATCATAGCCAATTCTTAGAGTTGCCGATGGATTTGCTGTCCCCAAATATAAACCAATAATCCTATTAGCACACGTCAGCCATATGGAATGTGCTAGCTTTCATGGATCTTTGTTAGCTATAGCTAACAAAGATCCTTATAAGTATGTAGGAATTTTACCTTAAGATATCGCTGAGCAAATTTTGTACAATTTTTTTTGATCCGTGCTCAACAAACTAGCATCAATTTCGGGCAATTTTACGTCGATTACTTCAAAATCCACTACTTCATAGTTCAGGACTTTACCAATAACACCTGAAAAACTTTTCGGCTCTGTTGTTGTACCATCGAGGTATGTGAAGTAAACACACAAACCACTGTGGAGGGCGACCAAGTTATTTTTCCAGTAAAACGATGACAAACGATTTCCTCTATTTACCGCGGTACCAACTTTTAAAAGCACATTTGCCCAAATTCTTTGAATCGCATTTATAAGTAGCAATATCAAATTGTTTTTTGGACTCGTCGCAGAATAACTTCTTTTTTACATCATTGTGAAGTTTTTTTACGCCCTTGTACTTGTTAAATATGAAATTAACATCGCCACAACTTGATACAGCACAATATGAATCGAAGTTTTATTTATTCCATATTTTCTCGATGACACAGGAAATAATTTCACACACATCTTTCGGCAACATGTTTTCAGAATTTTTTTGTGGTTCACCTAATACATCGCTAATCTTTACGAGATTTAGGCATTTTGTAACCGCTCAATTATTAAGTCGGCATACAAAAATTATTTATTGATTGATAGCAACGCGGTGAGCGCCTTCATCGGATGGGAGTATAACTAATACTAACATGACAAAAAGATCAATATTGGGATTAATCTATTGACATAATAATTATCAGTATATTGATAAAAATCCGGGCCTAAATCAGAATTTGTTTTTTTTCTTGCTGCGTGCGCCACCTGAAGATAAAGTCCTGGAGTCAAAATTTTCTGCATAGTTAATGTACTTATATGTGGTCAACAATAAATAATACAGGAAAGAAGAAATACAAGTTTAAAAATTTTTTTCGACCTTTTCACTCCACCCTAATGCACATTATGGTGCATCACAAACAACATTCTTTAGAGATATGGTCTCATGGTATCTATTCTTCCTTTTTCAAACAACATGGTCGACAAAAATCGATGTTGATAATTTCTTGCCTAATTCAAATTATCACTTTTGTAACTTTTGGTTCTATTAGATAAATAGAGAAAAACTATACAACAATTTTGTCACGATAAATGCATGTTTTATTCAGTAAAATAATTTTGCCGTACAATGCCGTAATGCAGTGTACATTTTAAACTTATGATTTTTTTGTTTCAGATGTGGTAATGCTTTAGTCCACAATGAAAGCCACACTTCTTTATCCATACGATCATCTAACAAACAGGAGATGTTGTCGAGTTGTTAACCCTCGACAGGCAGCCATAACTGCAGCCATATATGCACTTGTAAGTAAAACTTGTATTCTAATTAAAATTCATATTCCTTTAATTAGCTACTTCGATAATGTAAAAACACAAACAACGTGATCACGCAAGCATGTACTAATAATCTTAGTTTTCAAATATAAAGCAAAGTACTTTGAAAATTATTACTTACTTTACATCAATAGTTGAACTTGTTATTATGTTTAAGTAAAACTGACTTTGTGCAGGTATGAAAGCGTTTATTTGTATTATATTCGTGTGCAAACTTTAAATTAATTACAATTTCTCATAAAATTTTAATTAGACTTTATTTACAGAAAAGTGCAAGATCAAAGAATAAGTATTTTATTCTGGTAACAATATTTTAGTCCCATATTGGTTTTTTTTTCGAAAAGCCCTTACAATATACAAAGACGGAAATTTTATAATCATAAATTTAGAAATTTCTTCTAAAAGATTTGTTTGACGAACATAAAAATTAAAATTGAATGTTGTAACAAAGTTTTTTACTGACTTTGTTGAGAAAGTTTTTTTTTTTAATAAAATTTCCTTAATCAACCTTTTTTGAATGACAACTCTTTCAGAAACTCAAAAAGTTTTTAAATGAATCTAATTACCTTTGGATTTTTTAATGGCATTCAAAAAAGTCTTTAAATTAATAAATTTATAAATATAAAAATATTTAATTTTAAATCTTTAATTTAAACAATAATTATTTAATTGACCTACTTTAGCCGACGGTGGACTAGTGGTTAGTGCTGCTGACTACAAGCCGGAGGTCGTGGGTTCGAATCCCACCAGGCGTATGGCTGTTTATTTATGTTTGTCCTATTGTGTAATAATCCTTCGGAGGGGACTTTAAGCCCGCGGTCCGTTCCTACCCCTAACACGTACAAGCCATTCAGTTGGCTTCTGTGACTTCTTAGGAAGTAAGGGTGGAACTAAAAGAGCACTTTTGCATATAAATTTTTGTATATAGTCATCTAATCTAATACGCCGCGCCAGCAATGACAAGACAAAATCCAACCTTCAAACGTTAAGATGTTTGTAAAATATGTAATTAAAATAAAATATCCCATTTGTATATAAGGAAACATTTTTATAATTAAAGTCAGTATTAACAAGACTATTGTGTTTTACTCAACCACCCACTAGTTTCCAAGCCTGAAACTGGAACGTAAGGCTGCGCTTCGCTAGTGGGCCATTATTATAAAGATCCGGGATCACAATTAAGATCCGACTCTTTTCAAAAAACTGTACAGCCACAATGTTTCATTAGGTCAAGTTATTTAGATTAGAATTACATTTAGAAACGAAGATAATATTATTATGGTAAATTTAAAATTTTTAAACTATTACCTAGGTATCTAATTTTTGTTATTAAAAAATGCAAAGGTTTACAGAGGTTAAAATAATATACAACATTTTGGGTGATAAAAATAAGTATCATTTAGGATAAAAAATACTTAATCCAAAAAGTTAATTCGATAACGGTCTGTCCAAGATTGTTTAATTGGACAGACATGTATGTTAACTAATCGGATTTAAAAACTTAAATAGAGAGCTCAGTAGTTTAAAACTTTAATCAATATTTAAAATTAAAACAAATTAGGTAATGTACCTACAAGATCCAGCTCATCATGCATGCATGTATGCACAGTGTATGCATTGCACACATTGTTTCGGTTAGATAATGTTTAATGTGAAGTTATTTTAAATGGCCCTTTTTATACAAATTTTTTAAAATTCAATTTAGGATAAAGTTTATTCTGCAAGTTTAATTTATTCTGCCTTTTAATCATTTGTTAATAAGATGAAATACCATATTGATGTATGTTTCCAATAAAATCTGTTAATGGCATCGTTTCTATAAGTAATCTTTGGATTATCAAAGGTACAAAAATTTAGGTTTAATGAACTTTAATAGTAAATTATTATACGAAAGATAATGCAGGCTATTATTCACAAGGATGAGGTTTGCATCTCGAGCCGTCAGGCGAGAGACGTAAATCATCCTAGTAAATAATGCGCATTTTTTTGAGAGTAATACTATGCTTCTTCTACTCCAATTAAGTAATTTTCATTGATAAGAAAATTTATTATAACCTTACTTTTCCCGATTTTAAAGATCATTATAGTCGCCCCTCGTATATA